TTAGAATTCTCCATTAGCCTCCGGTCATTCAAGAGAGACAGACCTGTGTGTATTAAGGGACAGAGATATAGGGCCACAGAGACTTTAGGCCACAGAATCATTACTCAGGGACACAGAAATCGTTACTCAGGGACACAGAATCGTTACTCAGGGACACAGAATCGTTACTCAGGGACACAGAATCGTTACTGAGGGACACAGAATCGTTACTTAGGGCCACAGCTATCAAAGAATCGAAAATTTAAAGTGACATACACCCTTTTTTTTTGGTGACTGTCGTGCACATTTGGTGCTGCAGTTTTGCCGATTGTGCAAAATAAACTGACTTTCTGCTTCACAACCACTATTGTACGTTCAAAGAGTTAGATCCATTTACACGACGCGGTGGCGGTAATATTTTTTGGGGTGATTAGTGCATTCCAGTGACATAAACGTACAGTTTCAGCCAACGGCAAGCTGCAAAATTGACCGATTGTGCTAAATGTATTTGGGTGAATTAGTGGCATTCCAGTGATAAACTGACTTTTCTGCTTCACAAACCACCACTATTGTACGTTCAAAGAGTTTTAAATCCATTTTGACACGCCGGGTGGCGGTAATATTTTTTTTTGGGTGATTAGTGCAATTTTCTCCAGCATTCCAGTGACATAAACGTACATTAAACGGACGTTTCCAGCCAACGGCAAGCTGCAATTGACCGATTGTGTAGCAATAAACTGACTTTCTGCTTCACAACCACTATTGTACGTTCAAAGAGTTAAATCCATTTACACGCCGGGTGGCGGTAATATTTTTTGGGTGATTAGTGCATTCCAGTGACATAAACGTACAGTTTCCAGCCAACGGCAAGCTGCAATTGACCGATTGTGTACAATAAACTGACTTTCTGCTTCACAACCACTATTGTACGTTCAAAGAGTTAATCCATTTACACGCCGGGTGGCGGTAATATTTTTTGGGTGATTAGTGCATTCCAGTGAATAAACGTACAGTTTCCAGCCAACGGCAAGCTGCAATTGACCGATTGTGCTAAATAAACTGACTTTCTGCTTCACAACCACTATTGTTCACGTTCAAAGAGTTAGATCCAATTTACACGCCGGGTGGCGGTAATATTTTTTGGGTGATTAGTGCATTCCAGTGACATAAACGTACAGTTTCCCAGCCAACGGCAAGCTGCAATTGACCGATTGTGCTAAATAAACTGACTTTCTGCTTCACAACCACTATTGTACGTTCAAAGAGTTTAGATTCCATTTACACGCTGGCATGGCGGTAATATTTTTTGGGTGATTAGTGCATTCCCCCAGTGACATAAACGTACAGTTTACAGCCAACGGCAAGCTGCAATTGACCGATTGTGCTAAATAAATGACTTTCTGCTTCACAACCACTATTGTACGTTCAAAGAGTTAAATCCATTTACACGCTCCGGGGGTGGCGGTAATATTTTTTGGGTGATTAGTGCATTCCAGTGACATAAACGTACAGTTTACAGCCAACGGCAAGCTGCAATTGACCCGATTGTGCTAATAAAAACTGACTTTCTGCTTCACAACCACTATTGTACGTTCAAAGAGTTAAATCCATATACACGCCGGTGGCGGTAATATTTTTTTGGGTGATTAGTGCATTCCAGTGACATAAACGTACAGTTTACAGCCAACGGCAAGCTGCAATTGACCGATTGTGCTAATAAATACTGACTTTCCTGCTTCACAACCACTATTGTACGTTCAAAGAGTTAAATCCATTATACACGGCCGGGTGGCGGTAATATTTTTTTTAGGTGATAGTGCATTCCAGTGACAGCTAAACGTACAGTTTTACAGCCAACGGCAAGCTGCAATTGACCGATTGTGCTAAATAAACTGGACTTTTCTGCTTCACAACCACTATTGTACGTTCAAAGAGTTAAATCCGCCGGGTGGGCGGTAATCATTTTTTTAGGGATTAGTGCCCTATTGAATTACTCCAACGCAAGTATGTCATCGATTGGCACAACACGCAAGAGGCTTCACAACCCACTAGTCGGCAGCAGAGGAGGCAATGTATTGAATTAAAGAGTATGTCAGACAGGAGCGAGTGGCACAGACGCAATGGCAGCAGAGTGAAGCATAGGAAGGTAGAGGCAGCACTAGTCGCAGCCAGAGGCCAGTGCTCCCGGTGTCATCCAGCGGTCGTGTCTTCAACCGACAACCCTGCCGTCATCGATTGGTTGACTCGGTCGTCTTCCTCTTCCCAGGTCACCTCTGACAACCTACAGCCAACCGTCGTGTGGGTACGTCAGACACAACCGTTAGTTGGCATGGCCCGGGAGCAAGCCCACTGAAATCACGTGTCCTCCGACCTGCCCCTGTCCTTTGGTGGTTCCCTCATCACCAGCGAAGTATCGCATGCTGTGGGCTCTAGCCCCACTGTACAGTGAGGAAGAGCTAACAGAGGGCCGGTCAGGAACGGGGGGAGACATCCGCCTCTTCAGCAGCCAGGCGAAGAAGTACTGGCTGAGGAGAGTGGCTCGGTAGCCGGTCTAGAGACAAGTCTGTCTCCTGACCCACACGCAGCAAGCCGAGGGGGCTAAGTAGTGACGCGGAGACCCTAATTGATGATGATGAGGCTGATCGCACTTGGCAGCCTCGTCGTCATCAGGCTATTGCTTCCGCATCATCAGAGAAGAAGGTGCCAGCTTGCCAGCGAGCAAAACAGTCGGTGGGTTGCCCAGGAGGCAGCAGGGTCGCAGCAGTGTCAGTGGAGCCAAACGGCCACGGAGTAGAGCACCAGCTCCACTGCAGCCTACCACCACTGGCCAGTAGTGGTGGTGCCGGTGTGCACGGAGGGAAGTAGCAGTCAGCCAGTGAGCCGAGTAGCGGGGGCAAAGTTTCCTACTCGGCTGGGGTTGTGGCAATTTTTCGTCAAGCCGCCCGAGGAAGTAAACGTAGCCGTATGTCGACTATGTGGCCAGAAAGTCAAAGCTCGTGGCCAGGGGGCCAATGTTGGGACTACAGCGTTGCGTCAGCATATGCAGCGTCACCATTCGGTGGCCTGGGAAAACCGTGATAAAGATACGGCGGTTCTGCCTGCCCCAGCCCCCGCTCCATCACCCGCTCCGTTACTGCTCCGTCACCCGACGTCAATCGCCCTCTATCAGCCAGTCAATGCTCCAACACCTCTGCTGAGGGGAGTTGTCGCTCGTTGGCATCTTCCGCTCGTTCAGCATGCTCCTTCTCGCTGCTACTCCTCTTCACGGATTCCGTCAGCAGTCTTTCTTGGAATCCGTTTCCAAGAGACAACAGTTTTGCGCGAGCACGCACCGCGACGGTGCAGAAGCTGAACGTCCTCCTGTCCAAGTTGCTGGTGCTGCAGTCCCTCCCTTTCCAAGTGGTGGACTCAGCACCTTTCCGAGAAATGAGGGCTGGGTGCCGAGCCGCGGTGGAGAGTGCCAAGCGGCATTTCTTCGCCAAAAAGGCAGTGCCAGCCCTGCATTCACATGTAGAAGAGATGGTGGCCAGTCTTTGAGCATGTCGGTCTCTGCCAAAGTGCACGGCAGCGCCGACGTGTGGAGCTGTAACTACGGTCAGGGACAGTACATGTCATTTACGGCCCACTGGGTGAACGTGGTGCCGCACAGCCGCACCAGAAACTTGGACAGGTCACGCCGCTTTTGCCTCCACGTTTGCACGTCCTTGGTCCAGCAAAGATGTCCGCCTCTACCACCTCTTCTTCCCTGCCGTGTCCTCAGCCGCCACCCCCCGTCCCGGGTGCCAAGTCCCATTACCCGACCTAGGCATATCACATGTGCAGGGCCGCAACTGTGTCACGCTGTGCTGCACCTGGTATGCCTTGGCGAACGTAGTTACACAGGGGAGGGAACTTCTGAGTGTAATGAACAGAGAAATCGACAGATGGCTGAAAATCGGAACCATGTTGACCGACAACGGAAAGAACATGGTGTCTGCTCTGCGTCAAGGAAGGTTGTGCCATGCGCCATGCATGGGCTCACGTGTTCAATCTGGTTGTCAAGCGGTTCCTAAAAATCCACCCATCCCCACTGCAAGACATCCTTTAAAATGTCACGTAAACACTTTGCATGCATTTCAGCCATTCTACACCGCAAAGCACCACCCTCCTTGAGCTGCAGCGGCAGAACGGAATTCCACAGCATCGCCTGATCTGCGACGTTGCAACAAGGTGGAATTCAACTCTACATATGTTAGACCGCCTTTACGAACAGCGAAAGGCCATCACCGATTTCCTGATGTTACAAGCGGATAAAGGTACTCCCCTGTGTAACTTAGATGTCATAGCCATTGGCAGCTCATGCGTGACACCTGCCGCTTGCTCAGGCCCTTTGAGGAGGCCACGCTATTTGTGAGTCGGCAGGACTTCTATGGGATGAACGACGTCATTCCTCTGTTGCACGTCCTGGAACAAATGCTGTTAACAATGGTGGGGTCAGGGTGCGGTTAGACGTGGCGCACAGATCTCAACACGCCACATGACCCCTGTGGGGCAGGGACAGGAAGAAGAGGAGGAGGTTAGAGGAGGACATTGGTGCTCAGGAATTATTGAGTGAAATGGGTGGTTTTTCCACTCAGCGGACAGGAGTGGAGGAGCAGGAGCATCTGGTAGAGGAGGGGAGGAGGAGGAGACAGAGGACCCAGACGCACCGTTGGCAGTATGCTGTGGAGATGGAGGCCAGGGAGTCCCCCACGCATTCCTTGGCACAAATGGGCCCATTGCATGCTCGGTTGCTTGCGTAGCGACCAGCCGGAATAATAACCATCATGACAGAGGGATGACTTTTGGCTGTCCACCTTGTTGGACCCTCGCTACCGTTCAAAAATGGTGGCCTTTTTCACACTGCTGAGAGGGAGGCCAAAATAAAGTACTATAAAAACACTGGCTGCTGGGGGGGACTTTTTAAACCTAGGCCTGTGTATGGCCTTCAATTGAAGCTGCTTCCGCGTCTCCGCCACTCTGCCATTGGACTCTTGATAGTCGTCTCCCCACACTGCTGCTGGGGGGGGACTTTTTAAACATAGGCCTCTGTATGGCCTTCAATTTAAGCTGCTTACGCTTCGCCACTCTGCCATGGGCCCCGCCAGACTCTGCCATGTGCCACTTTCAGGTCTCCTTACACTGGTTGGTGGGTTGGTGGGTTCCATTTTGTGATAGGGTGCTGTATGGCCTTCCATTGCTGCTGCCTCCACCGCCACCCTGCGCCATGTGCCTCTGTCGTCTGCTCACGCTGCTGACGGCTTCCGCTTTTTAACCAAGGCCTGTGTTTGGCTTCCGAATACTGCTGCATCCACCGCCACCCTGCGCCATGTGTCTCTGTCGTCTGCTCACGCTGCTGCCAGGTCCATACTGATTCATGGCCCCCTGTACCGGCTCCTCATGAACGTGGTTCAGCGGGTTTGCATCACTTAACGGCAAATCGTTGACAAACGCTGGGACGTTTAGTGTTGTGCGCATTAAGCCAGACACCAAAGGGCAGCACAGACCTGTTATTACTCGCTCAAGCATGGCTGAACAAAACCAGTCTCTACCACAAATTGGACCCAGACCTGCCCAGGGTCTCGTAAGTAGATTGCACGGAGGTGTAGAGTTCGTTATTGGAATTCACTGTGAGGGACTTTTAAACCTAGGCCTGTGTATGGCCTTCAATTGAAGCTGCTTCTGCTCCGCCACTCTGCCATTGGACTCTTGATAGTCATCTCCCCACGCTGCTGCTGGGGGGACTTTTTAACATAGGCCTCTGTATGGCCTTCAATTTTAGCTGCTTACGCTCCGCCACTCTGCCATGGGCCCCTGTACCGCCTCCTCATGCTGCTGCCAGGCCCGTAATCTGCCATGGGCCCCCGTACCGACTCCTCATGCTGCTGCCAGGCCCGTAATCTGTCATGGGCCCCTGTACCGCCTCCTCATGCTGCTGCCAGGTCCAGAGTGTGTCATGGGTCCCTGTACGGCCTCCCATTGCTGCTGTCTCCATCGCCACACTCTGCCATGTGCCACTTTCAGGTCTCCTCACACTGCTGGTGGGTTCCATTTTGTCATAGGGTGCTGTATGGCCTCCCATTGCTGCTGCCTCCACCGCCACACTGTGGCTCCACACTCTGGTTTTGGCCCCGTGACTGCCCAAATGAGTGAAGTGTGCGGTGATTATAAGATCGACGGCACTCATCTGCATGTCATACTGACTGACAGTATTATTTCTCTTCCCCAGCAGACTCCAAGGGCATTTAAATTAAAGGTACAGTGTTCTGCACTAATATAAAGGCTCTCTGAAGCCTAGAAACACCCTTTTTATAAGTTAAATTTGCAGCGAATATATTCGGCTCGAAGCGAATTTATTCGGCGAATTCGGCGAATCAGCCGAACCGAATTTTTGAATAATTCGCTCATCTCTAAATATAATCCTGTTTAAGAGCAGCTTAAAAGGTATATATAGCCACATTTTTTCTTTTTTTGTTTTGAGTAGAGTATTGAAGGATTGGAACCACTGTCACTTTTTTTTCTTATTACTGATGATCATAGTCACAGAGACAGAAAGTGATAAGAACTCCAAAATTGTACAGTTGTTACCAAAACAAGAAATGAGGGGATGTCTTTTAAGGGAGACGTGTCTGGTGACAGCTGTCGAGCAGGCGCATTCCTCTCCTTTCCTGCAGGGACACAGACAGCAATAGATGGACAGGTGATTTATCTCTTCCCTACTTTATCCAAACCTGAAAAAGTTACATATACTTTAACTGCTATACTGACACCACTATGCATATACAGTTGTTTTCCATATTGACAGGATCTAAGAAGCTCTTCAGATCCCCAAATGTCATTCCCAACCAATACCTTTTTAAACATGGCCCATGCCTCTTTGAGTTTTTAGCAATCGCTGTTTTTCCATCCTTTGGTTGTACATAATACATGGGAAGTTACAAAACTGTATATTCTATCAAAGATCTATACAACTAGCTATAAACTCATCCATGAAATGGAAACTTGATCAGAATTTGTATTTGTAATATTTTCTTTTGACTTGGCACACATACTTGCATTTTTATTTGGATCTAAAATACTATTAGAATTACAATGATTAGACCATGGTTTTCATAAAATCTTTATAGGGTTGTTTTTTTCCTGCATGCTATAAAAGATTGAGTAATACAACAAATAATGATTATGCTGCACATTTTTAAAGCTGAAATATCTTGGATTTTTTTTTTACGTCATCACTCTCGACAGCTAGACGTTTTAAAACAGCAATACACGTCAATTTATAGCTATATGATTTAACGATATCAATCATTGACTTGTAATTGCTCATTTAGACACTTAAGACATATGAAAATGTACAATATGTTAAATATAACTAGCATATATGTAACATATAACTAGAAAATCTAATTGATAACCAGCATATTTTTAGTAGATAACTAATTCATATAATAATTAACTTATTTTGCTTTGCTCTGCAAAAGACTTAAAAACAAATATTCAAAACATATTCTATAACCCATCAAAACTGACTGAAGATTTTCCAATCTTCCAGCCTTTCTAATCACTTGCTTCCCAAGGTGGCCTCTAGAAATTGGATCAAAAATCTACATTTGAAATTTGGTGAATATGATTGGAATATAATGCATTAACTGGACTACTGATAGAACTGAAATGTGCCCAGGCATTTTTTCTATTTGTTGAATTTCCAGACCTACCTCATCCATTGGATGATAAACATTATAGTCATAGCTTTCCAGAGACACCGCCCTTGTTCTGCTCCGACTTGCATGTGAGCTATCTATCAATTTCTGAACATCTTCAATCATGATCCTGGAAGAAAATCAACCCATACAGTTAACATTTTGCATACAATATATTCAGGTTTGCTGCATTTGAGATCATGGTAGGAGCTTCACATTATTGCTGTTGTAAATGCAAAGGCTCTCTGTTGGATCTATAGAGTAATGAAGGAAGAAAATTGCATATATCTTTTCATTTGCTCAGCATGGCGAGAGCAAGCAAAGGCAGATTTCATTTGCTAGACATCACTCTTGGTGAAGGATCTGTCCCCACTAAAATGAGTTAGCAGCAGGGGCGGACTGACCATTTGGGCTTTCAGGCACTGCCCGAGGGCCCAGGGTCTGTAGGGGGCCCCATGAGATGCCCTTGTTACCTTTCACAGGCTTTTTTGGGTGTGGTTTGAGTGTGGGCTAGGACACAGGGGCCCCATGATCCCCTATTGCCCGGGGGCCCCATGAGTTTTCAGTCCACCCCTGGTTAGCAGTAAGTTAATTTGCCACTCATTTTAGTTGTGTTCAACAGAATGCAATGAACATGTGATAAAGTGGTTAAACTGAAGTCATGTGACGCCAGTGTGTGTCCACTCCCATAAAAAGGTATACGAACCCTAACAATTCACTTCTGTTGTTTGGTTACTTTTGGCCTGATAAATATATCATTAATCAATTTAATTTTATTTCATCTTTTTCTACAGGTGAAAAAAATATGTATCTAAGCTTCTAGAAATCTTGCCAGCTGAAAATGTCCCGGGGTCTCTGCCTCTGCTGTACTCTTACCAGTTAGATGGTTTCCAACTATCTCCAAGGACTCATCTATGTTATAAAGAAGAGGGGGGTGTTTTGTAGCCTGGTCCTCAGTGCAGAGTGCAGGAATGTGTTTCCTGGACTTGATCATATTATATTACATGTATCACATTATTAAAGTGGAAGTAATGTCCACATTTAAGTTGTACCTACAGGTAAGCCTATAATAAGGCTTACCTGTAGGTACATTGAATATCTCCTAAACTTCCACCATTTAGCATATATTTACAGAGCATGCAGCCGGTGATGTCATTGTCGCATGCACTCTGAAGGGACAGCACAGCGCAGCCATTCATAGTGCTGGAGCCCGCGAACCTGGAAGGAAGATCGGGTGAAGATGGCGGCGCCGGGGAGGGCTCTCTGTACAGGTAAGTCTGTCATAGTATACTTGTATGTGGGCATACTAGTACATTATGAACTAAACCTGCAGGGGGCCCATTACTTTTTTTTTGGGGGGGGGGGCAGTTTACTACTGCTTTAAGTGCAGCGAATCATTATCATTAATCCAGTTATGTATTCACTAAAACATAATCCCGACTAAATTCCCATTTCTAAATCTGCCTCAATATCAGGGATGATGAACCAGAGTTCCTCCCTGAAATAAACCCTGGGGTACTGTACCAGAAGGAGTCAGGAGCCAAGGACACTTGCCACCTAGTAGACTGCATGGTGAATTGACATCCACGCCAAGCCCAGAGGACATAATGCTCTGCTAAAAGGACTCCATGGTGCAGGCCAGACAAGTTGGGTAATTTATGCTTCTGTGTGATGGGCTTTTTATACTTTTAAATTAGTGCATATTACTACTTATTTATTCCAATACATTTGTTTAAAGGACTGAATCTTGCCAGGTATTTGTTCCCCACTTAACATGCCGTAATATCAACCTTTGTAATCTGTTTGCACAACTGCACTGGAACTGGAAGAAGTATGACTAGTTAAGGTTCTATTGCTTTGCAACATGCTTACAAGATAGGGGAGCATTTTAATAGAGGCAAATAGACTATGCACTCTGCAAATGCAATTGCTCCATAGCTTAGCAATTAAGGGGACACGCTATTGTCTTTCATCAACAAAATCATATGCAGCCAAAAAGGCTGTATTTTTTTATATTTTCCTTGCATGTGATTGGATATACTTTGTGAAGCTTCACCTCATTTACTAAGCTCTGGAGCAACTTACAAAGTGCGCAGTCTAATTGCCTTTAGCAAAATCAACCCTAATATGTTGCTGCTCTTCATAGTTCAGTCAAAGGCTGGTGCTGGGTTCTGGACTGGGCTATATTGATTAGCTGCAGAGCAGCCAGCACAGAGATTAATGTCATGCTGTTTGGCAGGGGTTCTTGAATACAGAAGACTGGATAAATGGCATTATAAGTACTTGTAAAGATAAAGCATTTCCCAGACATATGTTTTTAATGTGTATTCAGTTGTTCTTGTAGAGGTTTTAATCCAAACAAATGGTTCTGACATGGATAGAATGGCTAGTATGACTAGGACTTCTAATGGCTCTCTAGATTTAGAAATGTGATTCTACATATCCTGTGGTGTTGCCCATACATGTCCCTATCATTGTGAGAGATATACATGAGAGGAACATCCCTTGCTTTTTGTTGTGTTACCTGGGGAAAATAAGGAGCACTTCCAACAAATATAAATGTTCATTGTAGCACACAGTGATTTTCCAATTTGTTATAAATATATGCACAAGCTGGGAGTGCCTGCTTTTTTCTGTTGCCTAAAAGCAAACGAGTATCTT